TTTGGCGGATTGAAATTAGAAATTTGTTGGGATTGTTTAGTTTGGTTTTTGTGGTTGTAGTTGTGATTGGGGTAATTGGGTTAAACCGCATTTGAAGCGAGAGATGGGAAAAATACAAAAAAGTTGGAACATAAAATGCAAAATTTAGGGGATATCATTATACAAATTGAAAAATAAATATATGCAAAAGTAATCGCAATGAACCGAATTGTAAAAATCCGAATTTGCGAATGAAATTCAAAATTTAAAAACTTAAAATATTGAGGGACGTTCGAAAAGAAATGCAAACAAAAATGTAAATTAAAGGACAGACACATACATACACACAAAATAAAAAATTGCAATTAATAAAAATTAAAAATAAAGAAGATAAAAAAATGTTTAAATCAAAACCAAATAAGAAACTAAAAAGATAATTTAAAAAAGTATGTAATTAGAAAAATTAAAAATAAAATAAATAAATAAAAATAATATATAGTATTTATAAATGAGAATAAATATAATATAAGAAATAAAAAATAAAAAAGAAAGAAATTAAATGATAGGAATAAAAAATAAAATAATTAAAAAGGAATTAATAAAACAAATATGAATAAACAAATAATAAAACAAAAGTAAGAATAAGTAAATAAGTAAAACACAATTAAAAAAGTAGAAATAAATATAAAGAACTCAATAATAAAAATTAATTAAATTAAATTAATTGTTTTTGTTATGTTTATTTTTTTAGTTACGCTCATTTGATAATTAAGAAAAATAAAAACCAAAAAGAAATAAAAGTAATAATAATAAGTAAAGGAAATTTAAAATTAAAAAGAATTAAAACAATCAAAACACTTAAAGATACAAAAAAATATAATTACAAAATTAAAATTATGTAATAATAAAAAATTAATACAAAAAATTAAGTTTATAGAAACACAATAAAATTATGTAAAAACAAAAAATGTACGCCTTGTTCATTTCAAACAATTTTTATTATGCTCTTAATGAATCTCAAATAATAAACTCAAAAAGTAAATGTTATAGGTACTAAAATAGTTTTACCTTGAAAAGATGAGTTTCAAAAATCAAAAAAAAATCAAAACTAAAAAAAAAAATCTTAACGCGTGCATAACCCCAGCACCACAACGAGCAAAGAGCGTTTTCGCTTTTTCTCTACACGTTTTCAACAACTCAGTCCAGCCCATAGAATACACGTAAATAAAAAATACCATGTTCCCTGCTGCTTGCCAAAAGCAATTTCTCGGTCGCGCTTGCACTATCATTTCAAGTAGATCTCGTTTAAGTGCAATGAAAATTAAATGCAGCAGCAGCGGCAAAAATATCTACCGAAAGCAAACAAAAACACCTTCACCGCGAACACTTTTGCTTTTTACACGGTGCATTCATACGTCGTCAGCTACTTGCCAATGCCATAAACTACGACCGGCGGAAAGTAAGAATGGCAGTAATAGCAGCAGCGACAACAAGAACAACAACAACAACAATTTTAGCTACTTGCACCTACAATAAAAGGGGAACAATTTGACGAGGAGCATAACTTCGTAGGTTTCAACTTCCACACAGCTGCGCCTGTCAGCTAAGCTACATTACATAGCCAGTATAGTGATAGCCAAGTTCGTTGCTTAAGTCTTTCGTTCTTGGTAGTGCATGGCTAATATTAACCTCCAAAATCCTCTATGAAATTGTTGTTTATTGTTATTGCTGATCACTGCGGCGTGGCTATTATGTTGCTTAGTTGCAGTTTGCTTGTATATATGTATGTATGTAGGTATATATTCTTTCGTGCTACCCTCTTTGATAGGTACAATCGAGTTCTTGTACCCAACCCTCGCAAATTCTAGGCTGCCTCAAAGTGCTATTAGTTGTTGGAAATTACCTTTACCTTTTCTTTCTTTTTTTTTACAGCTTTTACTATATTTTCTTGGCTTGTTGTTGTAGAAGTTTCTGCTTCTTTCTTTTTTTTTTAGCGCTCGAACCACCTTCTTCGTACCCTTTCGGCTGCCTACCCGGTGCAATACCAGCAACATTCAGCAGTGGTCGCGTGTGTAATAATGTGGTTTGGTTGAGTGGCACTTGCATATTGCAAGCAAGCATATACACATTGATGCATACATACAAGCACATAAGTATGTATATATGTATGTATATGGAAAACGTGCTAATGTATTAGTATTTAGTTTTTGGTGTTATTGTTTTTTCTTTGTCGCTGGCCATGCGGGAGATTTATGCCGCATTCAACATTAACCGCCGCCGTGTGCCTTTGCAGTTGTAATTTGATGTTGCCCACAAAATTATTGTTGTTTTTATATGTGCTTTTTCCAATTTTTGCATTTATTGTCATGTTTTTTTTAGACTCTGTTGCTGACTCTTTTGCCACGCCACCTCAATTCACCAGTCATGCACCTGCAATTTACTTTATAGACCATAGCCGGTTGTATTTGTATGTGTGCAATGTGCGCACACGCATCCATACATACATGTTTGCGAACATATACTCGCTCACATTTGTCGCCGTATTATGTTCCTACAGTTACAAATGTTGCTGTGGCAGCTTCACTCGTTGCGGCGGACCGGTCTTTAGCAGTCAATTTAGTATGTTGACGCTTAGCACCGGCCAATCTTCGTTGCCGTCCTCGGCTTTAGCGATGCATGCGCGTCCGATACTCGATGGTTGGCTATCGACAGCGGCGGCAACAATTGAATTATTTTTTTAATATGTTCAGTATGTTGCTATTTTTTTAAGCTTCTTCTTCGCCTATGTGTTGTAGTTACGTTTATTTAATTTTTGTTGTTGTACCAAGTTTTTAACGCTATAAACATGTTTCTGGCGGCTGCAAGTTTCAAAAAGTTTCAGCAACATTTTCAGTTCAGATATCTATTTATTTTTTGTTCAAAGAAACTGCAAATTTTCTTGTTTTATATATTTTGAGCCAAGTTTATAACGATAGCAACATGTTGCTGGCGGCTGCAAGTTTCAAAAACTTTCAGTAACAGGTTTTTTTTTGTTTAAAGAAACCTAAAATTTTCATATTTGAAATATTTTAAACCAAGCTTATAACGCTGGTAAAATGTTGCTGCTACTAGTTTCAAAAAATTTCAGCAACATTTTCAGTTTCAGATTTTTATAGAAACTTAAAATTTATTTATTTTAGATATTTTGAACTAATTTGCAACATTAACTTTATAAAATACAAAAATTTGCTTCCGAGATGTTGCAGATTTTACCAACATTCCTACAGTACACTTTTTGGCCTAATTAAAGCTTCGAAAAGCATCTAAAATGAAATTTGGAAGTTTTATTGACGCACATATGCGTATATATACAAAACTGTTGCAAGTTGAAAAGGCGAGTGCAACATGTTGCCAGACTCCGTTGACATACTTTCACGAAATTTTTAATTTGCTAGTGCATTTCACCGCTAATCTACATACATACATATATATATATATATATTAAGTTAAGGAAAATAGTTCACAGTCGGAAACATGTTGCTATGCTCCATCATGCATTTCGCTATGTTGCTGTACCATCAATATAATAATTTTTGCTTACAAACGCTAACCTCCACTTGAAATTTTTGTGTCGGCTTGTCACTGGAGAAACTTAGATTGAGCTCTGCGTAGTTTCAATATCGAGAAAAAATCTCACTGCTCTGCTTTCCTTAGAAATCGTGCTAATTATAACTTTGAGAAAAATGAAAGATTAACAAATCTGCTACATCAGAAAAGAAGCATATTCTTGTAGCGCCTAAAACACATTTAGATAAGATCTGTAATCTAAAGCCACTCCAACAAACTTGTGTACCTAAGTATCTTTATATCGCTGCTTTACTGCTTTCATATGGCTGCTGTAGGCACTCACTACAGGTAGATGAAACGAAAGAAGCAAGCCAGTGCAATATTTTAATACACTGATGTGCGCATCTGCCTGCAACACGACAGCGATAAGAACCTTCTGCATGCCACATCTACTTACATAAATCGCATCCAAAGTTGTGCATTGTATTATGTTGCGCGCTTGCATTTCTTCACGGCTCGGCCTCTCATTTTCACTAATGCGCAATAATTAATCTTCATTTAATAACCAAACGAGCAGACAGACAAGCGAGTAGCCAGTCGTCGTACACAATCAAGCGTACACTTATGCAGTGATAACTATAGTTATACTACTACTGGCTGCAGCATCTTTGTTGCGGCTTTCTCATCAACTGCGAGCAAAAATACAAGAAAAAAAAAATCAGATAAAAAAATATTCACAAGCCTCGCTGCAGCCTGAGAACTTCTTTTGACTGCGCTTTGTGCAACCTTAAATAATAAATAATTTTTACGGCTTGATCTTTTCGTTTTTTTTTTTTACTTCATTATTTTCATGTTCTTAGTTCATTCTGTGCCCTGCCCTGCTTGCTGCCAAAATCTCTGCATTATCTTGATTTCTTATGCATCGCCCGTTTAGTTTTTTGTGTATTCCCTTCTGTCGGGGACCTCTGAGCGCACTGAACTCCATTCGTTGTTCGCCTCTTGCCGCTGTGCTAATCACCTGTCTGCCTGTTTGGCAGAAATTTCAGCACAACTTTATTACTAAAATAACTGCCTGTTTTTTTTTTTTGTATTTTCTCCAAACTTGCCGCCTAAAATGCTATTTATGTATAGCGATATTAATTTAATGCATCTTGAGGAGCCAACTATGCATCTGCAATAAAGGTACATAGCAATGTACAGTCTCAGCTAATTTTCGTTTTATTTTAACATTTCTCGCTCATCATTTAATTAGCGTTTCTTCATGGTAGCCATATCATAATCATTAAAATAAGAAAAAAATAGTTACAAAAAAGGAAAAATTGCCATACTATGAAAGCATTTCTTCGCGTGCCCTTTTGTGCTCTCAATCAGAAAATTTTTAATTTTCTAAAATTTTTGTTTGTCATTAAATTTTTTTATTTTATTTTTTTTTTTGTTACTCATGCTAATGAATGTTTTTTTAATTTCTTTTACAGATTTACTAATCCAACGTTTGTCGCTGCAACAAGTGCTCGAAGTTTCACCCGAGTGGAAAACAAATAAAAGCGAAGCTCAATACACTTGGCTGGAGTATGATTTTCGCGTCACTTGCGATGCGCATTACTATGGTTCAGGCTGTGCGAATCTGTGTAGGCCACGTGATGATCCATTTGGACATTACACCTGCTCTGAGTCTGGTGAGATTATCTGCTTGACTGGATGGCAGGGAGATTATTGTGATAAAGGTACGTTGCGAATTAACAACAATATACAAAATGAAATTTAAATTATACTTGTGTTAGTAAAAAATTTAAAAAATTAAAGTCTAAAAATTTAACTTAAAGAAATTTAAAATATGTAAATGTAAATGAAAATAATAACATGAAAACATAACTATACAAAATAAAAAAGTAATAATAAATTTCATCCATTATTTAAAACAAATTATGTAAAAAAATAAACGAACAAAAAAATTAAAAATAAATAAAATTGAAACAAAAAATTAAAAATGCTAGGTAAAAAAAGTAGTAGAAACAACAAAAAACATTTAAAATGAAAAACTAAAGATATAAAGATTAAACTAAATAAAAAATTAAAAAATTAGATAATTAAAAATAAATAAAATAAGAAAAAAATATACAGTAGACGCTCGCTAATTAGAACCACTTTGTTGTTAAGTACATAATTCTAATTTCTGCGATATTATTTTTTTAATAAGAATATATCATTGCATTAATTAAACAAGCGGGCAATACAAATAAATTGGTGATCCCCCTTTTAAGTTTTACTTTATTAAAACAAAATGCAACTAATTAGGGGTTTCCTGTGGTCAAATCAAAACAAAATATACACCCTGAGAAATTAGAATTTTTAATTAAAATTTCAGAGCGTTTAATGATGCGCAAACTCTAATTCTAATTTCTGGAAGATTCGATAATAAAAACGAAAATAATAAAAAATAAAATAAGGAAATAAAAACGAAAATTATAAAAAAAGCAAATAATAAAAAATAAAAAAGGAAAAGCAATAAAAAATGAAATAGTAAAAATGAATAAAAAAGGATAATAAAAAAAATAAAAAGCAAAATAATAAAAACAATAAAAAAAGGAAAAAATAAAAACAATAAAAAAAGGAAAAAATAAAAACAAAATACAAAAGGCATGTATTAAGAATTAAAAAAAAATAAAATTATCAAAAATACACTCAGTGCACGCTCGATAACGTTAACCAATTAAAACCAGCGGGTGTCTTTTGCGAATTTGTTCTTTTTAGCGAATCTCAAACTTAACGCAAAAAATGTCCGTATGTTATCCCAATTATGTATTTTTAAATGGGTAATTACATTTGCGAAACAACATTTAATGAATTTATTAAAAAAAAAACGCAATTATACAGTGTTCACAGAAGTGCTCATATCTGTATAGAAAATAATAAAAACAGACTATACAAAATAAAAAGAAATAATAAAAATAACCATTTATGAAAACACTATAAAAAAATAGTTAAAAAAGCAAATACAAAAAAAAAATCCATAAAAGTTTTATGATCAGAAACAATTAATAAATAATAAAAAAAAAAAANCAATTAATAAATAATAAAAAAAAAAAAATAGCAAAGAAAAACCAAAAAATTTAAGGGAGCAAATGTTTCCCTTAATTTTTTTCTACAATCGAACATACTTCCATATGTACATAGTTTTTTTTTTAAATGCCTCACTGCCGTTAATGGCTACAGAACCGTGCTTCCAGTTTTAAAAAACTTTTTTCCCTAACTACAGTTACCCATCGCTTGCACGCACTTCGAACCAAAAAAGTAAACTCCCGTCAGTTTTATTCATATGTATCTACATACATTCGCTGCAGAAGCACGCATATCCGATCGTTCATTCATTCGACAAATCGCTCATTTCCTCCTT